TGACATTATTTTTCTCACTGTTTGTAGTTTAAATTAGTAGTTTTACAATTTCATTATAAACAGCACATGATGCTAACTTGCGAGGTAAATGCACACACACCATACTTACTTTCTTCGTTAATTTTTTCAAAAATTCCTTTCTTATCATAATTTTTATAAATCCCTTAACAATAGTGTTTGACGTCATTATGAATTGAAACTCCATGCTTCATCGTACAATTTAAAAGTCAACCTAGTGATGACTGATAATTTTTTCCAATTTTCAAGGATATTCTCTGAATTTATGAAATCCTTATTAATTGTTATTAGAAAAACTCTTGTTTAGTTTTTTTTTGCACTCGAGCACAGTTAAGAATATTGCGTAATTTACTAAATTCCACAAATAAAACGTCAAAATTTCGTGAATTTTGTGTATCTTCTTACATAAAATAATACACAAATCATAGGCCATTATTTACAGAGGTACATGCGTTAAAAGTTTTAAACTATTTCCAGGCACAAGATATCGATTGTAGAATGGAGCCTTTGGAGAACCCAGATTTGTTTTTAAAAATTCGATAAATGCCAAACATCGATCCTTTCCGAAAAAATCGTTTCGAATTTTCTGACCTCAAAATATCATATTTTTTGCGATATCTCCAATATTTATGGAGATACGAGCGTTTAAAGATTTAAACTTTTTTTAAGCGAAAAATGTCAACTTTAGAGAGAAGCGTTTGCTTTGCGGGTGTTTATAATAGATGTAATACCTGGTCTAAACGGAGATACGGTCGTTTAAAGTTTTCAATTATTTTTAGGTGAAAAACATTTTTTTTTTTTTTATGAATTTTTCTGGTTAAAATTAAACAGATTTGTAACAGTTTGCGCCTTAATATTTCTTGCGACATGACTCCCGAAATCAATAACAATACTATAACATCCAAAGTGAACTTCACTTTTAAAGGTCGCATTATAAATATACTTCAAACTGACAATTAAAAATTACCGCACTACCGCAAGTCCTGTCAGCATGTTAAAATGTAGTTACTTGAAAATGGTCCAGTGCTGTTCCCACTCATCGGACCTCGTTTTGAAAAAATTCCCGCTAAATTGTTTAAGGGTACATACATCAACAAAAGTAAACTCGTCATTTCTACCGTCGATAAGGAATAAGGCACACGCGATTATATACGAAACAAAATATCCTTTCCACAAAGTGATAATACCAACGGAGTTTAGCTGAAAGTCGAAAGTACCGATCTCCGCGAGCGGGCAAATATCTCTCAGCGCTGAAGGAGGGCGCTACACCATTTTCATTCGGCATCCGATTCACATTTTTTGAATCAGAAAAATTTCTTTTTTCTGTCTCTATTTTCTAACAATTTAAATCGTTTGTTTGTTAAATGGAAAACCAAACTCGGGAATCGAAAATTCATCGAAATACATCGTTTATAAAGATAAAGGTAAATTGAAAGAAAAAAAAAAATTGATTACCTACGGTATACAACGGTGCACCTATCAATTAGCATGTAAATTAAATGTCACAAGAGAAAGGGTACGCTGAAAATCATTGCCAAGACTATTATCACGATGATCGGTAATAGAAAAGCGAGCGTTGACAAAAAAAAAAAAAAAAAAAAAAAGGCACATAGGAAAATCGAGGAGCGAAAGATCCCGAAGATTGCGCAAGATATGGAAAAATAAAGTGTGTTTCGAACGAGGGGATCCGGAGGAATATTAGATCGTTATCTGCAGAAAAAAAGCGCACGCAAGCGCCGTTGCGTCAGGCACGTCAGTCAGTCAGTCAGTCAGTGTACACGCTGTTATGGGTGTGCTATACGGTCAGCTCTACCGTTACACACACGTACATATATGTGCGTACATGCGGTATATAGAACTTTTCTCTTTTCTTCTCAAAAATTTTCATGCGAGCTCCTTTGCGCCGCTCTCTCATCCGACCAATAACTATTACGTGATACAGGCACTGTGCTTGTATATTGCATTGGTAAATCGTTTTGTACGTGTTACAGATGCCCAATAAGTATGGGTAACTCTATAAGATATACAAAGGTCCCCCCCCCCCCGAACATAACGTTGCACACCACAGCTCGTCTTTCTCTTTCCATCTTCTCGAGCGCGGTGATAATAGATAGGTATATATATATATATAGACGGTAGCCCGCCGAGACGCTACCGGGTGAAAGCACGGGTCAGTTGTTAGAGGCCAAGTTGTATGTGCACACAAGTCCCCCCATCCCTGGTTCACGCGTAAGTTGGTACATTTACTCATCCGTCCCATCTCTCTTTGTCCATTGGCTATACGACCTACGCTCGCGAAAACCGATTTCGACGCGGAGGCGCACACTTTTCCCCGCAATTCGATGTGCCCACACGCGTTAGCCGTTTCGGGTATGAGGAAATCCACAAAAAAATATACCGTTGTGCAGTGACGAAAATTTGCAAGAATCTCACCTTTCGTATATGACTCGGAAAGATAATCCGATCGTCCCCCTAACAATTATCGTTATCCTCGATTCTACCGCAACAGCAGCTCTTTTAGTTATATTGCCGTTTTTTATGTCTTTCGAAGTGCGTGAGTTATACAATCGGTGAAGCACGTACAGTCGTTGCGCTAATCTTTTTGGACCCATGTTAGACGTATATATGTACAAATTGTGGGAATGGTTGAATTTTTGGTCGAGCGTGTAACGTGATTACGTATCGCGAGCCAGCAGCGAAATTTTACGATTCATAAATAATAGTCGCCGTGCGAATCGTTTGGAAATATGTAATGTATTGCTTTTCAAATGAAATCTCATCGTTAAACTGATTTTTTTTTTTCTTTTTTTCTTTCATGTCCGAACAGTGAGAAAGAGCGCGCCATCAAACGACATCTCCCGAGCGACTTTTGGACGGGACCTTAAAATATATAGGATCACGGAAGTTGACAGCAAAGACGAGCGTTTAGAGGAGATTGAGCGATAAAAATTAACATTTTTTTCTTCCTTCCTCTCTCTTTCGGCGAACACTTTCTCGCATTCTAATACACGCAGCGTGCGCTTGTGTAAAAAAAAAAAAAAAAAAAAAAAAAAAAGAGAAATAACTTCGATGGTGACTATATTTGCCATCATCAGAACGGAGCATCGTGGCTCTTTGAACGCATTTGAAAGCAATACGGCTAATAATTACAAGAAGTGCCATTATTACCATCACCGTATACATCAGGCATAAAATATACACGTAACGCAAAGTTTTTCGTGAAAGTTGCAGCCGACGAGGAGGCATATCTTCTTTCCGCGTTATATACGTGTATATATATATATATATATACATTGTGTACACAGGGACGACGACTACTGCCGTACGCACAAATCCAGCATGCATAAGTGATGCACGCGCGCGCGAGGCGGAAGATGTACTCGCTCTCTGTGAGAACGACAATCGCGCGAGCGAGAAAATCGCTTTCGCTCCGACGCTACAGGATACATGATATCATGCTGTATTATATTGTGTGTTATTTTACGTGACATCTACAAGTGTGTGTGTGTGTGTGTGTGTTTATAATAATGGCAGTAACAGTATATACATTATAACGACGGAGCAGCACCTCCTGGCGATGACCAACGATGGCCCGCGGGGGCATCTCGATAAATTATAAAACGCCACTTTCCATTGTAACTTTCGCGGAGCGCTCACCATCCACCTCCCGCTGATGCTGCCGTGTGCTCTCTTGCACCTTTCCCCCCCTATCACTGCCTTTTTTTTTTTTTTTTTTTTTTTTCATGCGTCTTTTCATTTTCTCTCGAGTTCCGTGTACGGGTATATATAAATTTTATAAAATATATAATGTACGATGTAACATATTATAATATAATATATAGACGTACGCGCCGAATCGTCAAATAAGCCAAACGCTTTCCCCGTTTATTATCTTTATTATCATCGTCGCCGTAGCTCCCCGTGGTGTGTATATATTATGTTACGCAACGCAGGTTAAGTGATTTTTATTTTGCAAGTCCGTTTCTTTTTTCTTCCTCTCATTTTTGGCGCGCGTCGCATCCCGGAAGTCGAGCGAAAAAGGCGGCTGGAATATCGAGAGGACGTATAATAGAACCCCCCGTGTTTACAACGCCGAGGAGGAAGAGAGTTGGAGCATCAGGTGAAGTGTCATCGACTCGCTTTGGAAAAAAAAAAGAGAGAGAGAGAGAGAAATCGCAAGAGCGCGAATACGTGTACAGGATACGGGCTCGAGGGAAGAGGCTCCTCTTTATTTCGATTTTCACCTCGTGATTTACGTTATTGCCGGGGATCAGTGAAAGTATCCTCCGTCGGCTCGAGTACCTCGTATACATTCGACTCCCAGAAGCTTCTCGAAAGGATTATTTCCCCCCCCCCTCTCTCGCGATCGAATAGCTCAAATGTTATTGATTCTCCTTTGTGCGACGTGATCATATAGGACACAGTGTAGAGGAGGGTATAATAGGTAACAAAAAAAAAGCACCAGTAGTTTTAGTGTTTATGTAAAAAAATACATAAAAAAGCTTTATTTCGCCACCGTTTTCTTGCAAAAATTAGGTATAAAAAAAAAAAAAGATGATGATGATTTTCGGATCCAACGGGTGGATGGGCCCGCGGATCGGACCGATGCACGATCGGCCCGCGCTCGCTTAGCATTAATATAATACAGTCGCAGAAGGCCAGTAGCGGCTAATCGTCGCCCAACATATTGTGTTTGTGTCGTCTCGGCGCTCCTGGCTCTCCCGTGTTACTCGTCCTGTCGCTTATTCTTCTTCGCTCTCGCCTCCTTCCCTCATCCCCGGGGAGGAGCGGAGGAATCTTTGTGCTCTCGTCTCTGCTATTGTGGGGCTATGTTACAACTCGAGCTCGATGACTCCCCCGATGGCCCCCACGCGCCTTTTGGCTGATGACGGCCTTCCGGAGAGCAGCTCGGGGGGGGGGGGTTGGTTGTTCGGTCGTTGATGTACCGTCGACGCGAACCGGGGTCTGGGAGGGTGAATTGACTAGTAGGGGCCGGAGCCGCCCGGGGGTCCGTAGTTCGAGCTCGGGCCACCGCCGGAGACACCACCGGCTCCTCCTCCGTGACCACCGCCGAGACCACCACCGCCGCCGAGGCCGCTGTCAACGCCACCGTCCAAGCCACCTCCCAGACCACCTCCGAGTCCACCTCCGAGTCCGTTGCTGCCGATGCCACCGCCTTCCTTCTGCAATCATTCGTTTGTCCCGATTAATACGCGATAAAGGGCCGCGCACTCCCATAGAACTGGGCGCGAGTCCAGCATATAGTCGGAGAAGACCTCTTAGACTCTTACCTGGGTCTTGTACTTGATGAAGTAGACCTCGGGCTTGCTGGGTTGGGTGGGGGCGACCGTGGGCAGGCTAAATTCGGGGGCCTCCTCGGGCTTCTTGACCAGCACGTAGATGAGGGTCTTCTGCTCGTCCTGGGCCGGCAGGGCCGGGATCACGGGGGCGGTCGGGGTCGGTGGAGCCGGTGCCTTGATGAAGATGATCTTGTAGTGCTTCTGGGCCGGGGCGGCAGGGGCAAAGTTGCGTATCGGCCGGTCCTCCTGGGGCTCGGGTGGTGGCACGTGCACGTAGATGTGCTTCTGGATGAGGGTGCCGCCTCCCGAGCCACCCCCGAAGCCGCCACCACCACCACCTCCGCTGCCACCCCCGAGTCCCGAGCCACCGCCGAACCCGCTGCCGCTGCTGAAGCCCCCGCTGCTGAAGCCACCACCGCCGCCGCTGCTTCCACCCCCGAAGCCGGAGCCCCCGAAGCCACCGCCGCTGCTACCTCCTCCGAAGCCGGAGCCCCCGAAGCCACCGCCGCTGCTACCTCCTCCGAAGCTGGAGCCCCCGAAACCACCTCCGCTGCTACCTCCTCCGAAGCCGGAGCCTCCGAAGCCACCGCTACCTCCGCCAAAACCTCCTCCGCCTCCACCGCCACTCGGGGTCCCGTAGCTGCCGCTGGGCTGGTTGGGCTGTTGGTACGAGTAGCCTGCCTCCGGCCGGGCAAGCGCCACCGTGGCGAGCGCCAATATCTGCAACGAATCGATCGAATCGTTTGGACATGTATGTATGTATGTATGTATATATACATCATATACGTATATATTTATACACGTATAAAGTATACAGCCACGTGTAAAGACGTGAAAAAGTATTAATGATGATAATGTGTGTGCAGCAACTTACCAGGTATGCCCTCATGGTTGCTGCTGGTCCCTGATTTGAGGACTGATGCTCCGGTGTTGTCTTGGAGGCCCCTTTTATACACGATCGGCCGGCGAGCGCCGTTCGGCCCGCCACCACCACCATCGCCACCGCCGCCGCCACCGACGAGGAGGACGACGATGAGAGGCCATCACCTATGAGATGCGACGGCAAAGCCGTTATTGCAAATCTCCCGCTCTCTTCCCGGATTGGCTCGCGCGGCTGTCACCGCGCCGATGACGGGCGATGCCCCACGCTTGCGTGCACCCCTCGCGACACGCGCTTCAACGTGTCTCCGGGGTTCTGCTCCATCAGGGACGAGTTTAAAAATACTTCAACCTCACGATACGTACAGAGAGAGAGAGAGAGAGAGAGAGAGAGAGAGAGCTCTTTGAAAAATAAACACAACAACCTGACGCTCGGTAAAAAAGCGAAACGAAAGTAGGTGTACCTACTCCACGTTGGATTGTACCGATAGATGTAAGGATGTGGGTACAAGAGTTTGGCATAAATTATACGACGGGTGTGCTTTTGCGGGCACAAGGAAAGCACTCTTTTTTTCTTTTTTTTTTTGGCTCTGTACACTCTTATCCTCGATTACCCGCGGGCATCATCATCATCATCATCATCAGCTTCCTTTGCTCTCTTGCGAAATCATTGCCACCCAGGATGTATATACATATGTACATGTATGTACGTACAACGAGCTCGGGCGATAGTGGACGCGTCGAGGAAGCGCGAGAAAGGAAAAATACTCTCGGCTCCGCGTGACCCGGATATACTTTGGGCGAGCATTCGCTCCTTTTTTTTTTTTTTTTTTTTTTTTTCCTCTCTTCGGCATCGATAATCACGATGAGTGCGGTCTGATGCCGATGATAGCGCGAACCCGGGGTTTTCAAGGCCCTTGTAATTGCGTTAGTGGCTCAAGACGGACAGAAAGAAAAAGTCATTCTCATCCCTTTTTTTTTTTTTTTTTTTTTTTTCGGAGCAACAAAAACGTCCGATTGCATCGCTCACGCGCATCTTAATTATTACCAGGCTCGACTGCGCGTGACAAGCAGGATGAGTGGTAAAAATTGTATAACTTCATCTCGATGGAGTTCAACATTTTCATTTGGACTACGTCATGAAAATCATTACATTGTTTCTCTTTCTTTCTTTCTTTCCATTGCAGGAAGACGAAACCGGCAGTGTACGTGATGTTCTGCAAATGCAAGGACATATGTATACATATATCAATATATAAATACGAGCAAATTGTCATTTGGTGATTATGGTAACCGTGTACCTATATAATAATTCGAGAAAGCGAGAAAAAGAGACGAGGAAAAATGTGCGTGTGTACCTACCTGCAGTGCTCGATGAATAGAAAGTGTTTTTGTTACCGTCGTGTAAACTTTTCTTATTAATAAGTGCCATTACTCTTGCGGTCAATGAGAATCATTGTATCTCGTAACAAATAAATACACGTACGTCTCACTTTCAAACAAATCGCTTCAACAAATGATCCAGTATTCGTTCTAAACGCTTGTATATCAATCAAGTAAATTGCGAGGTAAATTCTCTAACGAGGTAAATACATCCTTCACCTTTTTTTTTTTTTTTTTTTTTTTATATCTCCCCTAATATGTAATCGGACAATTGTAAATTAGCTCTGACGAAATTTCTCAAAAGATTGATTAAATCCATACACGGGTGTAATTTGGTAAATTACATGTCTAGCTGACACATTAGGAAGAAAAAAAAATACATGGTACCAAAACGAGCGGAAAAGAGCGTCATTAATGAGAACAGTGGAGAATAGCGCTTGGCTGGACCATGGGCATCAGGTTGGCGCAAACTTTCACAATAGTATTTTTTTTTTTTTTTTTTTTTCTCGAATCGTACCGTCACTGGCAAACTTGAGGTTGTTTCGGAACGATTTTGTTTTCGTTGGTAGATGCCTTGTGCTCCTTCGTGCGCTCCCCGATTCGGCGGACAGAGTGTACATCCTCGCGTTAATCTCATTAACACCATTCGTGACGTATACTTTCGGCCGAATCGCCGATTACTCAACACCGAAGTATCGAAACCCGATGTGCTCGAAATTCGTACGAAATGCATATCATCATTAATCCCGTGCCGATTTCGCGATGGCCGTTGACGTCGCAATCAAAGAGATGCTGTGTATATATGCGGATTACACGGTTGCGGTGACGCTGCAAGTGTAAAAGCGAAAAATGTTTCGTCTCACTTGGTGAAACAAAAGCCAGGCAGGGAGGGGAGGGGTGGAGCGTAAAAAAAAAAAAACAAATTTGCCGCGTAAGTGTATTACATTGGGCAATGCGAGTGTTTCATGTAAGATGCGCCGTTGGATGATCAGGAAGAAAAAAAAATAAACAGCTGAAGAGCTCATTTCGCTAGAACGACGGATCGGAGGGCAGAGTAATCGTGGTCCATATAGTGATACATTTTCCAAGCTTCCGACCGCAGATCTCGGGTGCTTTGAAAGGCGCAGATTCACCGCCCGAGATCATCTAAATTGGACTACGTATATACCACCTATACCTCTCGGACATTTAAGGGAGAGAAATATACCTATCAGGGAAAGTTGTGGTCTTTTCGGAAGTCCACGGCTCACTTTCCATCTCTGTCTGTTTTGCTTTGTTCGCCGAGGCGGTGTGTAAGAGCGAGATAGCCACCGTCACGGCTCGACGCCGTTGCGCAAGCAAAACTCTATTTTCAGTATGGGCTTTCGTTACGGCCAATAAAGAATCTCATCTCCTCCGGTCCGCGCCACTATTCCTGTATATATGTGTGCTCCCTCGTTTCGTTCCCTTTCGATTTTTTTTTTTTTTTTTTTGTTCTCCCCTCCCCCCGTGGCCAATTAATTGTCTTCTCCATTAATCCCCTTCGACCTTCTCCTCGGCGTGTTGTTATGCATGCTTAGGCACTCACGCGCGCACTTCGGCGCGTCTCTCTCACTCTCTACTCTCGTCCCGAAAAGTATTCCCAAAGTTTCTCCCGAAATTATCATGCGGAATTCCGCAAACGCGAGAAAGAGCGATCATCGTCATTATAATTTTCGAAATGACTTTGGAAGCTCGTACGGCTTTATTGATATATATAAAGATACCCGTAACTTAGGTTGACACTGCTTTCGCAAAACGTTATATTCGTGCCCTCTCCTCGACTCATGAATGAAGAAAGCATAAATACCGATGATGATCATAAACAAGGAGCCCCAAAAAATAATAATAATTATAATAATATGATAATTACATCAATGAGGAGAAAATAATTGCGTTGCAAAATATAAAATATTTATCGGCAAGGACGTATGGTTTTCGACCTCCCCGAAACGGATGTTTTCGTCAAATCTCACGAGATGAATCGAAATACATCATCGTATAGAACAACGAAATATCAACTCATCTTTCCACGTGGAGTTACACGGTCCTTTGCGCAACAGTTGAAAAAAAGGGAAAAAAACGACAAGGTAAATTGACTGACAGTTCTGTAAAAAAAAAATAAAAAATAATCCCCCCAAAGGTTCGGTCAAGATTATTTATCCTCCCGGAAGCCAACAGAGGAGGATCATCTGAACAAAAAAAAAAAAAGAAAGAATACATCCTTATGCAACCCAAATTTCGGAGAAACAATTTTGAACAACCACAAAGGTACGGTTGAATGGCTAAAATACGCGTACAACGATAATTCCAACTTTCACACCACCTACTAAACGCCTTGTTCTATACATGTTCTTGCCATCATCATCATTATTAATGAGGCTGTGGTAAAAGAAAAAAAAAAAAAAAAGAACCAAGTATTATAGTACACCTAAAACTCCAGAGTCTTGCTCCTTTGAAGTCTACTGAATCCAGGGTGTTGCATCAAGGCGTCCGGGGGTTATTAAATGTCCAACAGGAGCAACAATTTCGACTCGTAAACGCACACGCGGGGCATCACGTATACCAAGAGTACTCGCGCGTACTTACATGCATGTAGTAGAATTATGAAATGTCTTAATTAAAAACACGCTCGAGAGAGGGGGGGGGGCCTCCTCACGTTTTGGGCTTTTGGTTCTAATGTTCTTCGAGTCATAAGCAACGCACGCACACCTGCTCTGCTCAAAAGTGCACTTGACTGTGCAAGTAGGGTATACATATATACGTATGAAACACAAAAGCAACAGGTGGCGGGACGTCAAATATACGCGCACAGGTGTATATACTTATCGACAAATGTACCTTCGCCCGTGAGGATCCCTCGAGTGGGAAGATATGGTATTATGTTGTGTACAGGCATTAGCAAACAATGGGACGCGCGCGACGACGGGATGCCGAACAGACAGGTAAAAAGGGAACGCGAGCGGCTATTCCTACACGCGTAACGCCGATTTCGTGTATATATATATATTTATATATATATATATATTTTTTTTTTACAACAAAAACGGTTCCACGCACTCTCACGTACTCATGTGTACTTACGTGCGTTAGATATTTAATCGGATATGGCCATTAGCTTTCAAACAACGATTTGGGCAACACAATCCGAGTGAGAAACACAAGGATGAAGTCTCTTGTTAATGAAAAATACGCTCCGTCAATTATTATGTCACGCGTATAGGTTTACATGACGAAACGAGAGCAACAGCAGCAGCGTGTGTGATCCAACTCACGCGGCGTTAGTCCTCGCAGGTACGAGGTCGAGGAGGTGAAGAAAAATAAAATCGAGAAATCGTAAAAGACAAAAATACAAATAAACTCGAGATTTACTTGAAGTAGGCACGTATATATAATATGTACGGCTGACAAAGCTTTTCGAAAAGTAAAAGGAAAGTGAGAGTGGGTGGAACCCCATTCCTTGTAGCGTATGGCAAGCATCGCGGCAGATATTTGGAGGGCCATTTCCTTGGATCCGACAATCACTATGGGTGGCAGAAGGGAGTGTATAAGATTGCCCGGTAACGCGTAAGTATATATAATATACAGCGACGGGAGCAAGTTATAATA